CTCTCTCCCCCCTCTTCTCGCTCGTTTCCCCGGTCCCCTCTCCTGCCACTCTCTCCCTTTCTTTCGCTTTCCTTCGTCCCTCTCGCCCCCGCCCCTTCGTCCCCGTGTTTTCCCCGCCTCATCGCTTAGACTTTCACCGCTACATTACCTGTCTTTCCCGGACGTCGCCCGCATTGTCCAGTTCCATTTCACGCGTTCCCTGCTTTTGCGCCCTGCCCCCCTGCTGTTCTGGCTAATTGCTTTACCCTTGCCCGCGGTGCTTGTGCCTTTTTGGTCGCGTTGATCTCTCTTGACACCCTTTTCCCTCCCTTCTGCGCGTGGGGTCGGCTCGGGCTCCCGCTCTTGCTCTTGCGTATCCTAGCGTGGCTCCGGTAGTGCGCTGGCCTTTCTTGCGCCCGCTGCTCCCTGTTTCCGTGGCTTCGCGCCTCGGCTTCCCCTTTCCCTCAGTCGGCCGGCCGCGTCCCTCTTCTTATCCTTTTTTCCCCCCGTCCCGGACCTGCGTTCGTGCTGTTTAGTCTCCCGTTGCCTTCGCCCCGCTTCTTCTGGCGCCTGCCCCTGCGGTCACCCTTCAGCTCGCCCCCCGTCCTTCCCCGCATGGCCCGGCTCCTGGCGGTGCGCCTCCCCCGTGCCTCCTCCCACCCGTTCTCACCCCGCTGCCCCGTTCCGCTGCCTTCGCCCCCCGCAGTTCTGCCCCCCCGGCCGCTCCCTTTTTTTCGCCCCCGCTTCGCTGCTTGTTCCTGTCCCCTTTTCCGCGCCTTGCCCCCACACGCCACTGCCCGAACCGCTATCCCGCTTTGGCCGCGGGTCCGTGCTGATGTTTTGTTCCCGTCCCCCCGGCTGCCCCGCGTTTTTCTCAGCCCCGCTTTCGGTTTTAGTCCCTGCTATGGCCGGCCGTCCGGGCGGGCAGATTCGCCCGCCGGCTAGCCCGCTTTCCTGGTGCTTCCGTCCTTTGCTCTCCTCCTCTGCCCGTGCCGTGACCTGTCATTGTTGCTCCCCGTGCCGGCTTGTGTGTCGCCTCCACGCCTCCTGTTGCTGGGTCCCCTGGGCTGTTTCTTGATAAATCGCCCTCGTCTTTTCCTCCTTGCAGCCGCCCCTCAAGGAGGACTCGTACCTTGAGACGCCTTGCGAGGCTCCTTCCCCCTACTCTCTATTGCGCCTTGGCTCGCCGTCCCCCGATGAGTCTGCCCCTCCCCCCGTTGCCTTCTAGTTGCTTCGCTGCGCCTTCCCCCTCCTTCGGCTGGGCTTCTGCTCCGCCTGCCCCCCTCGTGCTAGCCAGATAGATTCTTCATTCACGCTCTTACTGCTTTTGCCCCCTCGCCCGCCATTCGCCACCTCCGCCCCCTTGCTTGCTGTCCAGCCTGCTGGGATTGTTAGACGTGCCTCGCGCGCTGGTTTAGTTCGGCGTGGTGTCCCTATTCTTCCGGCGCGCAGACCACCCCACTCGCGGTCCTTGTTGGCATTGTGTGCTTCGCCTCCCCCTTGCTGTCCGGTCTTGTCATTTCGGCGTTAACCTACAGACCTACTGTCCTTCACACCGCCCCGCTCACCAGCCTTCATTTATACCCCCCTTAATCTCTGCTCCACCTTCGCTCGCCTTACTGGCCGGCGTGCCCTTGGCGCGCCTAGTATCGCCGACTTCACCTCTCTCGTACTCCTCCTTTCTGCCGCGGGGCTTGCACGTCTTCCGCCACTTATTTGGCCCCTCCCCTTTCGTGGCCCGCCCTGTTTCTTACCGCGTTGAATTCGGTGCTATCCGCGTGCTTTCTGAGCGCAGCGTTCCGCCCCCCCTTTTTACCGTATCGCCGTCGGTCCCCCGCCCGCGGCTTTCTTTTTTGCTGGTCTTCCTTGTCGCAGTAGTGGCGCGCTCTTCTCCCCCTCCGGGCGCCCCCGCCCTGTGTCTGTTTCCCCTGCTCCTTCGCGCCCTCCGCCCGTGGCTCCTGTGCGGCGGCCTCGGTCGTTCGTTCGCCGTTTTTCGCTCCTTTCCCCCCGTGCTCGGTTCCGGTTCTCCGGTGCGGTCGCGCTCTTGCTCGCCGCCGCCGCTTTGTTATTTTCTCCCTCCCTTCCCCTCCCCCTGTTTCGCTTCGCCCCCTACCGCCTTGCCTCTTCCTCTTCTCCTCCCCGTTCGCTCGGCTGTCTTGCGCTCTTTCTGCTCCCTTTTTCTGTCTCCGTTTTTCCGTCGCTTGTGGGCCGCCGCGCATGGTCTGCGGCCTTTTTTAGCTCCCTGCGCTCCTGCGCCTTGCCCCCTGCGTCTTCTTCTCCCCTCCCTGTAGAGATTTGGCTCCAGCCTTCCCCTCGCCTGCGCTCCCTTCTGCCCATGCACGTCTTCTCGTTGTTGTCCCTCCGCGTTCGTTCCCACGACTTCCCATCCATTTAGTTCCGGTGTTCTCTTTTCCCCTCCCGTCTCCTCCCCATCCCCCCCATTAATCCGTTTTTTCGTCTTTGGCGGCGCCCTTACTTCTTCCTGCCGCGCCCCTCGTCCCTTCCTGTACCTATTGCCTCCTGGCCTCCTCTTCCCCCCAGGCCCTCTTTTTCGCCCCCTCTTTCACCCCGTATTTTTTTTTCTTTTTTCCTGCCCTCCCCGCCCTCTCTGCCCCTCTTCGTCTTGTCCTCTTTCCCCCTTTGTTCCTCTTTCCCCCTCCTCTCCCCTGTGCCTCTTCCGTGCTGGGTCTCGTTGCTCCCTGCGGTCTCCCTTCTCCGCCCTCGCCTTTTCTTCCGCCCCTTGCCCGCTGTCCCGCCTGGTTTCCTCCCCTTTGCTCGCCCCTTGTTCCTTCCCACGTTCTTGCCGTTTTCCCCTCGGCTCTCTCTTCTCTCGCGCCGTCGTCTGCTCCCGGCCTCGGTCGGGCACTTTTGCTCTTGTCGCCGCCTCTCGCCTGTCTCTGTATCTCCCTCCCGCTCTGCGGTGCCATGCTCTCTCTCGCTTTTCCTCCGGTCGTTCCCTCCGCTTCGCGCATAGCACAGCTTCTCTCCCTCTCTTCCTTGCTCTTTCTGTCGCCACCCCCTCCCTCTTTCCCCCCGGTCCGCTTGCCGTTCGTTTGCGCTCGCTCGCTCTCGCTCTTGCCTGCTGTCTTACCTGCGTCTTTCCCCCCCTTTTTGTCCCCTCTCCCCTTGCCCGCCTTCCTGGCCCCTCCCCTGCCTCTTTTCTCCTTCCAGTTTCCCCCCGCCGACACCCCCTCGCCCAGCGCGGCCCCTCCACCCCCTCCGCCTATTCCTCACCAACTTTCTCTCCGACCCACCGGGCGCTCAATCTTTGGGCCCTCCCCGGCCCCCTTTCCCCCTCCCCTGTTGGCCCGGGCGGTTCCGGCGTTTCATCCCCCGGCTTCGCGTCCTCTGTCCGTGGTCACGAGTCCGTCCTTGTCTGCCTGGGCCCCCTCTTCCCCCCCTTCTTCCCCCGTCCCGTGGGCCTTGTTCGCCTTTCGCGCGTCTTCCTCTTCCCCTTTCCTCCTTGTTTCTTTCCTTCCCGCTCTTCTCGCTCTTTCCGCCCCTCGGCCTCTCGCCCTATCGTTTCTTGGCGTTGTTTGCTGTCACCCTGTCTGTCCTCTCATTTGGCCTGATCGCTTTCCCCGTCCTCCTCGCCCCCTCCTCCCTTCCTCCTTTCCTTTCTTCCCACCCCTGTTCCTCGCCTCTATATTTCGTTCCTTCGGTCCGTCTATCTCCGTCGGTACCTGCGTGCGTCCGTACCGCGCTCTCCTGCGGTGTGCTCGGCTCATCCCCCTCCCCCGCAGTCCTCTACGCCGGTACCCCTTTTAGACTCTCTGTTCGTCCCCGCTACTCTTGCGCCATGCCGCCTTGTGCGCGGATCTGTGTGCCCGCCGTGTGCTGCTTTCGCCCTTCTTGCCGCCACCCTTCTTCCAAGCGTGGGCCTTGCCTGCCTCGTCCGACTATTCTCCGCGCCCTCCGCGTGACCTGGTTTTTGGCGATCCCCCACGTTTACTCCGGCCTTTCCCAGTTCTCACCACTCTCGACCTCAGTCATACTTCTGCCCTGTTTTGCGTTCGGCCTCTTCGTTCTGCGCTTACGGCCATCTGGAGGTCTTGGCTGTGCGCCCCGTTGATGCGTCTTTTCCCGCACCTTATCCCCCGCCCGCGCCGACGGCCCAAGATGCGCTCTTTCTTGGGACCTGGGTCCCCGTTGTGACTGCGGGGTTGTTCTCTCACACTCTGTCTCGCTCTCTTGTGTCTTTAGCGCATGTTTCTCGCAATCAGATCACGCAACACCCGGTTACCTCCTATCTACCCATAACCGCTCTCACCTAAACGCCCCTTCGAAGCTTCGGCCGGGGCATCGTGACACTGCCAACGCAGTCGGGCGCTCTGCAAAGCGCACCTTCTTCATGGATCTGCCGAAGAATTTCCAAACTAGTATGGATGGATCAGACATGTTATTTTTCAGTCGAACGATCCATACGGCGGGCGAGACCGGACAACGGGAGGTGGGGAAAGCGCTAACGGCGAATGTTTGTATTTATGTACTTCGGTCGTAACGTAGAAGGTTGTATTTGGGGTTTGAAACAGCTAATAATAGTAATTAGGTTAAATAAGCAGGGATTTTTTTGACATTGTTGCGGGCTATAGCTGGCGATGAGTATAGGCGAGTAGGGAAGGAATGCTGCTTGGCATCGGTCGACTTGTGATGAGGCCGCAACGGGTTGGGAAAGCAGTCTTTTAGATAGTGTTGTTTTTAAATGTTAGCGAGCAATCAAAGGGCGGCGGTTGAAGATTTAGACTTATTGCGGCTTGTTATGTTTTCAGGTATTACTTTATTAATTGTTTCAAGGTAATTTGGAGGTATTATTTTTATCTGAAAAATGTTTTTTTTTTTTTTGAATATTTAAATTTTTTTCAAGAAATGTATCAGGGTGTTTTTGAAATAACGATTCTGGTCAGTATTGATTAATCCGAGTCTGGCTGTGTGTGTAGGCCTTTGCGTACAGCTGTGATTTTTTGTAAAACGGATTGGTGGTGGGTTAAGTGGTGTAGAGGTTCGACTAGAAGGGATTTTTCGAAACTGAAATCCTGAGGGGGTGAAACTAGGCTATTCTAAAAAACGGTGGTTGTAGGTCGGGAAATAACTACATATATATGAATTAAGATTGTTTATTAGAATTTAAGAGAGACATAAACCATCCGATAGAGGACCAGACTGGTCGTTCTTATAGGATATTCGAGAATGGAAGCGGGGATGGTAAACGAGATTAGTGAGGGGTTCTGTATTTTTCATCGTCATGTTGTGCAAATTCTTACATTAATTTAATTTAAGTAATTTTAATTAATAATAATTATTACTCACGGGTGCTTCCAATAAAAAAGGTAACGTGTTAAAGTCATTTTTTCGGGTAGAAGTATCAGTCACTATTCTGCTCCTTAAACTGTTTTGGAACCGTCTACTCAAATGAAGTTTACTGATTATTTAGTTCTTAAAGAACTGTTTGTACTTTTTTGTGAGTGGGTTACTCGAGTTGTTTTTGCAGACTATTTTTTGAAAGAAAATAATATCTCGCGTGTTTGCAAAAATAGCTTCTGAAGTATTGAAATTCCACCAGGGTGATTTATAACGCCCGCGACGATGCGCTTAAAATTGACTTCGAAATATCGTTGGTTTAGAAAGGTACAATAAATACGTGTGTAGAATGTAGACAACTTTTCCAGGTGTGAGATTAATCACGGGCATTTCTGTAGATTTTGTTTACATTTCATATCAACACTTTTGAAATTATGTATTACGAACTGGAGATACGTTATATGGGGTACTATTCGACATTAGGTTTTCGTTGTAGAGTGAAAAATTTTTCGAGACTTCTAAGAGAATATTTATTACTAGTGTTATCCCACTATAGAAAGGAATTGAGATATACAATTTTGTATCTATGAATTGGTAAGATTATTGAGCGCAAGAATGGTTAATTCATATACAATTGATGTTATCAGCTGTCGATGGAGTGTGAGGGCTAAGACAGGTTATTTTTTCAGGCAAACTGTTATGGAAAACGTGTATCCCTCGCTCTCCGCGATTTCAGGTTGTCTATGAACGCGAGTGAAGAGGGGCTAAGTGCGGTGTAGATTTCGAGAAGTAATATAATCAATGGACTATTTAAGAAATTATAATTAGATCGCGGACGAGGTCGGTTCCGCCGGGCATTTGGTTATAACGACGAGTGCGGAATTCTGGCTCTTTTATATATGCGCAATTGATAAGCGCTCTCTTTTGTAAACAACCATCCACGTTTTATAGAGGTTTGTTAGAATCACAATGATTTCTAGACATGTTTTGACACCTGGAAATACTACCACTAGAGGCAGTGTCATTGTGAAACTTAGCACACTGCGTAGAGTAGCTAGAATTACTTCGAATCTAGTGTAGTTGGTTTGTACTTTTATGAAGAATTACACATTTCTTATTGCTATTTGACCTGCGCAATACGGTAAAATACATAACGTAAGAGCTCACACACGCCCGTGGGAGTTTAGCTGCACTCTGTACACTGCTGCGCAATTCAGGATCTACGCGGATCGAGGGGCAAGGGCGTAGGTAGATCGGATGTATAGTATAAGACGAGTGGCGGGACCTTCTTGGCTTTTTAATATCGCAATTTGTACACAGCGCTTATTTGTAAAAAAAAATAAAAAAAAAAAAAAAAAATATTTTAGATAACAATCGATATTAGAAATGTTTGACACCCTGGAAATACTACTACCGAGCACGTCATTGTTGCAACTTGCAACTGCGTTGCGTTAATACGCCTGGCGGGGACCGCCTCATACTCTTTCGGATATTTAGCAAAAAAATAAAAAAAAAAAAAAAAAATTTGTTATTTTTTAGCTGTTATTTTTAGGAGAACTGTTTATTTATAAATGAAAGCAATAGACAGTTAAAACATACGAATCTAAAAACTACTAGTTTTGCCCATAACACGACAGTAGGTACCGTCAGCGTGGGCCAGAATTTGTCTTTAAATTTCGAAATGACGGAATCTGTCCTGCTCTTTATTCATTTTTGAAATCGTTTGCTTTAATCCGCCAAGACATTATCTGTTATTCCCGCAAGGCTACCTCACAACTATCGACTTGGGAATGCGGAGCACGATCTTTATCTGCCAACCGAGCTCAGAACTAGTTAAAGGCTACAATTTACTGTACAATGCCAAAAATATGCTCAATCATACTGGTTTTGGATATCAAGTCGCTTTCATTCTTTCCCGCATTTCGCTAAGCTCTGAAATCATACTTAGGAGAGAGCTCTATATGCTCATGTTGTGGCAGTTTTTTGCGTATAGCATAATATTATTTAATATTAAAATTTCTAGATAAGATATAAAGAAAAAAGATTCCAGTGGGAGGAATACAGGAAAGTGTGGCACACGTTCTTCTAGAAACGGCTGTATTTTGATATACTTCATTGGTTAAGTCAGTAAATTCGCAGAGAGTAAAGTTATTTTTGGATGCTTTTAGTCAGGCATACGGAGTTTAAAAGTTTCCTTCGATATCACCATTATCTAAGTATGATATGGCCAGGGCAATGGGAATTCGGTACAGGATGCCGATGCAGAGCTTCGAACGGAAAACCGTGAACTCGTGTTTTTTCCTCTGCAGATTTTTCGTCTAAATGTAATAAAATGAGCGAGGGAATAGGTTCGTATAGAAATGACAAGGTGATAAGCGGAGTTTTGTTACGTGGCTTGTTGCAAGAAGTTTCACACGGAAGTACGGAAAAAATGTGACCATTTTTAAAAGATGCGATATTTTGTTCAACGTTTGTGTCGACAAATGTTATTCCTTGCGAACAGTTAGCAATTGCGATATAGAAATATTTATTTTTTTTTTTTTTTTTTTTATTTTTGTATCTAGTGCGCGAAGTGTTACTTTGGTGATCAATACTTGAATTTTTTAACGAGGCGTAGGTAGCCGAGTTGAAAAATTAGTCGCGTTCACCAAAGTAGTTCGCGCACGAGTTGCAA